TTTTAATATACAGAATTGTTTAATATCCATAATACATATCGATCATAATTATGGAGTTGAAATAATTTTTTACCAGTAACTACTGCAGCTTGTTTTGTTGTTGAAGTTGACGTAACATAAGAAGCAGCTCCTCTGCTGACGTCACACCGAGTACCTAAATGTTGAGTGTTACCATGGTTGTATTTTAATTTATATAGAATGCCTCAGGTTTTTTCCGAAGAGTTTATCTATTTTATATAAATAATATACCAACAGTAACAGTGAGGGAAAAATGGATTGGCATTGACCTTTAAACTTAATTAATTTATTGATTGTTCTTTAAAAAATATTTATACAATACTGTACTGTATTGTAAAAAAAATATTTGTAGTACAATGTAATGAAGAGCTGGTTTGTGATAGGTGGTTCTGCCTGTAGATTTATCATTAAACTGAAATTGCCCTCAAGCTGTGGTTCAGGTTCTTAATTCTGGTCTAATAAACATGATTCAAAGTGAGTGAAAGAAAGTTCCTTAAGTACTCTGATGTTAATAGTGTGTAATAATTTTTTCATCAAGACAGTGTTATTGAAAAATAGACCACCTAAATTCTCAGAATTGTATGTGTTCATCTTTATCCTTATAATGCGTTCTGTAGGAGATATGGCACACTAGCTTTACATTATATTATCTTTATTTCTAAGCCACATTAGATTATTTAAAAAAAATTCTACAAATTTTATAGCATTAATGCTCCAGAAATGGTTGTGAAACATGGCACAGTGTGTGTGTGTCTACTGCGCTGTGTGACGTCACGGGACGCAGCTGGAGTGGTGAGTCAGCCACTCCACACACTCACTTTCCACACAAACATCCATGCTCTTCATGTCTTAAATTATAGTTTTATATTATATTATCTTTATTTCTAACACAGAATATTGTAATGATTTTTTCACGTGTATAGCATTACTGTCGACTTTTAGTAGTTGTGGAACACATCCTAATTTTCCCCTTAATGTTTATGTACAGTATTCACTATACAGTCAACCCTCACTTTATGCGGTCCCACATTCCATGTTTCCAGTTTACACGGTGCCCTGCCAGAACCCAGGATGCTCACATTCCGCGGTGGGTGTACCCCTTTACGCGGGTGAAGTATAATTTTTATATTTAGCTCATAAAATTCATACAAATTATCCGGCCAGAATATAATCTACATTGCTGGAATTCTTACAATTTGATGATCATTTTGAATATAAACATCATAGATTTTGCATTAGACATACAAATTTTAGATGTAATGTTTACTCTGAGTAAATATGTTATCTTTTGTGCAAATTATATGACATTTATATTCAAAATATTCCTGGTCTTACAAGGAATCCAGCAATGTCAATTATATTATCCTAACTTTAGTCTGATTTATTATTTATTACTAAAAAGGTAAACAGTCTGGTATTCCCACACATTTATCTGGTAGGGAGGGTTGGTGGGGGGGAGGGAGGGACCGGGACCGACCACCTGGCATGCGTGAAGAATATTTTTTTTTTATTAACTGAAGATATTTGTTTTAGCTCATAAAATTCATACAAATTACCCGGCCAGAATATAATTTACATTGCTGGAATTCTTACAATTTGATGATCATTTTGAATATAAACATCATATATTTTGCATTAGACATAAAATTTTTAGATATAATGTTTAATCTGAGTAAATGTTATCTTTTGTGCAAAATATATGACATTTATATTCAAAATATTCCTGGTTTTACAAGGAATCCAGCAATGTCAATTATATTATCCTAACTTTAATCTGAGGTATTATTTAATACTAAATGTTAAAATCTAAATTTTTCACCCACCCTTTCTCTTGAAGGGAGGGTTGGTGGGGGGTGGGGGGGAGGGTTGGGACGGACTGACCATCTGGCTCGGTTGGAAGAGGGGGGGAGGCAAGGTGGGGTACTTTGATTGACAGATAGTGTTGTGAAGAATATTTTTTTTTTTATTAACTGAAGATATTTGTTTTAGCTCATAAAATTCATACAAATTACCCAGCCAGAATATAATTTACATTGCTGGAATTCTTACAATTTGATGATCATTTTGAATATAAACATCATAGATTTTGCATTAGACATACAAATTTTAGATGTAATGTTTACTCTGAGTAAATATGTTATCTTTTGTGAAAAATATATGACATTTATATTCAAAATATTCTTGGTCTTACAAGGAATCCAGCAATGTCAATTATATTATCCTAACTTTAGTTTGAGGTATTATTTATTAATATACCTGGTTTTCCCCCCAAAATTTCTCAGAGGGAAGAGCCAGTGATTTACGCGGTCATTGGAACCCGCGGAGGTCCGCGTAAACAATAAACGCGTAAATGGAAAAACAGAACATACGGAATTAATTGAAATAGAGACTGGGCCGACTCCCAAACTCCACTTTTTCCGACACAATACCTATGTTGTAGTAAAAATAACATCTTAATTTTATGATGGTATGCACACACAATTAATATTTAAGAGAAATACAGTAGCCAGGTTAATGTCCATTCAAATAATGGACTCAACTCCCACCCCCCTTCTTCCCACGCTCGTTGGCTCCTCCCTCTCTGAGAAATGTTTGGGTGAAAACACTAGATTTTAAGGTAAAGTAATAAATAATACCTCAGACTAAAGTTAGGATAATATAACTGACATTGCTGGATTCCTTGTAAGACCAGGAATATTTTGAATATACACATAATATATTTTGCACAAAAGATAACATATTTGCTCAGTGTAAACAAAATTCTTACATTGGATCTAAAATTTGTATGTCTAATGCAAAATTCATGATGTTTATATTCAAAATGATCATCATATTGTAAGAATTCCAGCAATGTAAATTATATTCTGGCAGGATAATTTGTATGAATTTTATGAGCTAAAACAAATATCTTCAGTAAATAAAAAAAATATACTTCACCCAGACACTATCTGTCAATCAAAATACCCCACCTCCGGCTCCCCCCTCTTCCCACTCTCGCTGGGTCCCTCCCTACCAGAGAAATGTTTCGGTTAAAACAGTATACACCTAGACCCCGACTTACGACTATGTGGACTTACGACCGCCTCAGATATAGATAAAAAAAAAAATTTTTTTTTTTTTTAAATGACACGCATTTTCTATACCGAAACGTTTCCAGTTAATGTAGTCTCCATGTATAATTAGAAAATTATGGGGGCCCCATGTGCATTCAGCTGACTACATTAAAGGTTAAGTGCTCAGTCACACTGTATCCATTCCTTATTATTTATTACTTTCACTGTACTGTATCCATTCCTTATTATTTATTACTTTCACTGTACTGTATCCATTCATCATTATTCATTACTTTTACTGTACTGTATTTCATTGTAGATTTTTTATTAAAAATTTTTTTTTATCTATGTCGGACTTACGACCATGTCGGAGTTACGACCTGGATTTGGGTCCCTAACCCCGTCGTAAGTCGGGGTCTAGGTGTATTTACATTTTTAGTAATAAATAATACCTCAGACTAAAGTTAGGATAATATAATTGACATTGCTGGATTCCTTGCAAGACCAGGAATATTTTGAATATACTCATCATATATTTTGCACAAAAGATAACATATTTGCTCTGTGTAAACAAAATTCTTACATTAGATCTAAAATTTGTATGTCTAATGCAAAATCCATGATGTTTAGATTCAAAATGATCATCATATTGTAAGAATTCCAGGAATGTAAATTATATTCTGGCCAGGTAATTTGTATGAATTTTATGAGCTAAATAAAAAAATTATACTTCACCCTCGTATATGAGTAGATGCACAGCGTAAAGTGGGAATTCCGGTTCTGGCAGGGTACCGCGTAAATGTAGAAACGCGTAAACGAGAACCGCGTAAAGCGGGGTATATATATATATATATTACACCTAGTTTATCTTACAGTACTGTACAGCAACACTGTCATATTCAAATTTTGTCCCATTCAAGCACCTTACTTTACATCCATTCCTGTGTGTCCATTTAAATTATCACATTGATCATGCATGTATACACATACAGGTATTGATGTTATTAATTTGGCTGCATACTGTTTTATGTATGGGTCTTTATGTCCTGTACTGTACCAGCATTTGATGTTTCTCAAGGATATTAATGTCTAACTAATTTAGCAGCTTTGTGAGATTCACTGCTCCTCTTTGTGTGTATTTAAAGTGTACAGTATCTTCTGCATCCCCCAACAAGAAAAGTTCTGCCCACACTCTTAATAGTACAGCCAGTTGTAAATTAGAACATTGGAGGGAAAAATTTTTGACCAATTTTTCTGTTGAAATTGACTTTCAATGGAATATTGATTTAAAATCAATTTATGAAGATCTGACAATATTTTTATAGAGATAAAAGGAGGCAGTATCACTCCACTGATGCAGTGGTATATTTTATTAACTTCAGTAATACATTGTCATGGCCTTTTCAATAATATTCAATGAATTATAATGAAAACAACTATTTTTTAGTTAAAATTGTGCAATTATGAATAATATTTGTTACAGCAAGCAATGGTTTAACAATATTTTTGCTGTATATAATTTATTTTTAAAAAATTATACATTCTTAATACAGTCTATTTTTTTTTGGTTATGCAAAATCATCTCAAAATTTGTAAAACGTCAAACCAAGACTAAACCTCTAGTATTTATTGAATTCTTTGATGAATTAGTAAGTCTTTATTACTATATGTACATGATGATATGGACTCAAAATACAATAAAACAGGACATACAGTACTAGAAAAACAATCCAGCTGCGTAGCTTTCATTCAAAATTGTAACCAGACTTACTTTAAAAACTTATTGGGTTTGAAGTTCTCAGCCTTCTGTCCTTCACCTAGAATCTAGTCCCCCATTTCATTTCCATATTTAATTTCCCACAGTGACCTATACTTATCATCCCATTTTATGGTCATCAATCCTTATTGTATTACTGTACATTACCTGTACAGTATTTATGGTCATCAAGCCTTATTGTATTACTGTATATTACCTGTGCAGTATTTATGGTCATCAAGCCTTATTGTATTACTGTATATTACCTGTACAGTATTTATGGTCATCAAGCCTTATTGTATTACTGTATATTACCTGTACAGTATTTATGGTCATCAAGCCTTATTGTATTACTGTATATTACCTGTACAGTATTTATGGTCATCAAGCCTTATTGTATTACTGTATATTACCTGTACAGTATTTATGGTCATCAAGCCTTATTGTATTACTGTATATTACCTGTACAGTATTTATGGTCATCAAGCCTTATTGTATTACTGTATATTACCTGTACAGTATTTCATTTTATCCTTGTAGGCCCAAGTGTCTCCTCCCCACAACACCAGATGAAAATATCAAAACAAATGTGGGGACAAGATGCCTCTCACTTTAGCTTTAATCTCAAACTGCACTCTTTCTAATCTCTTAAATTTTGTTACACATTTAGTTTTTTCCACTTTTGTAATTGTTTTTTCTCACATTGGTTTCGAAAATGCTAATACCTGTACTACTGGCCACTAGCCTCTGCTAATTATGGTAATATTTCCACTGTCATTCATTTCCCTTTTGTGTCTTCCCATTCATTTTTCTGTAAAATTTAAAAAACATTGTAGTTTGCTTTTTCTTCATCACAAGTACTTATGTGGAGTCATTTACCATAAGCTTATTGTATTATTTAAAGTTATCGTATTTTATGGCATATGAGGTGCACCCAACCCCCCTTTCAGTTGGGAATACTGTATTAGGAAAGAAACTTGTGTATATTTTCCTCTTGTAGCCATAGTTTTCTTAAAATAATACTGTGTGGAATAAATAAATACTGTACCAATAAATATGTTAAAACAAAAAATACAAGACTATTGTTATTTGGCTACTGGACAACAAAATTTGTCAATAGTTTCACGTGGAAGACAGCTGAGATTTCTGACTCCCCCCTCCCCCCCCTCCTCCTCCTCTTAACACACATAAAAAGTTTATTTTATGTTTCGACTTTATGATAAAAAATAAATAAAAATATGAGTAGTGCATCTACCTAAAATTAGGACTGGAAAGACACCATAACATAGCTAAGAGCTTGGCCTGGAGAGGTAGGGGGATGTGGCTATAGTGACGAGTCTTGTGTTACTACAGGTATTACAAATACAAAACTAATATGAAATACTGAAAAACAAGTAAAACTTTAAAAAAAATGTAAGGACTATGCTTATAGATGTAAGTCAAAAGGCTGAAGCAAACTTACAACTTCCTGCACCTCCTCTCCCAGTATTCATAAACCATATAACTTTCCTAGCTTATGATATTTAACACTCGTGCTACTTCAAGCAACATTTGTATATGATTTAAATGAAAAAAAAATGCAGTTAAAACCACTAAATAAAAGCCAAATGAAAGTTTAACACAATTGCCATTTGCATACACTACCTGATTCGCCACAGCAACACAGACCAGTGGGGACACAACCTCTGCCGACTCCCTAGCAACGCATCTTCCCTACACTCCGTGCTTTCCTCCCGCTCCCCCACTGAACCAGCTAACTCGAGTGCCCAAAAATTATTATTGCCCTTATGTGTTTGACTTAATGATAACTATTTCTTGCACAATTTGTGTAGGATGGCCTGGTGGATACAGTGACAACTCTAACTTGGCTACAATGCTGCCAGCAATGTTAACAGACACAAATGTAAAAAGAAAGTTATCTGTAAAGATAAATGTTACAGGTTTGACATTAATAGATATAGTGCTTGTAAGAATTCAGATATGGTTACTGCTTCGCTCTGAAGAGCTGGGTGCCTGCCATGTTGTATTTTTATGGGCATTAGCCCACCTGGGCATAGGTTATTTTATAATGACCCCCATCAAGGCCTGAGGGGCAAAAATTTAATAAAATAATACTAATCAAAATGATGATGATGATGATGATGATAATAGAATCAATACAAATAAATAATTATAAAAATAATAAAAAATAAAAAATAATAATAATAAAGACAAGTAAAAAAAAATTCAAGAGTGAGAAATGACATGTATGGACACTAATTGTCTCGGGTTATCATCAGCCTGTACAACAGTTATAAATCCAGCATTTATATTTACAATAATTGTTTTTAATAAATTAAAAGTAAACACACTGTACAATATGTTTAAGTAATAACATATAGTACTTTTAATTCTGGAGTTACGCTATGTAAAATTTGGCTTACTGGAGACAGCAACTGGAGAATTCATTAGCCTGTGGGAGACAGCAAACTTCACATTTAGGACACAGGCTGACTTTGTTTAGTAATTTTTCAGACAAAAAAGTGTCTTATATCCCATAAAATATGGCACTTCCTGTAATGAAAATTTTTAGTTGGTTACTTTTTACCAATACAGTATTTAAAAAACAAACTCAAAGCTAATACAGTACTAAAAATATTTTATATTCTGAATAACAAAAAAAGAAAAAGAAAAATTCATATTGTAACAATAATATGCATGTACAGTTGCTTCCACATGAACGTACCATGACCTAGGTGTGTGTGTGAGGACACATTAACGAGATGTGGCAATGCAGCGTCATAGGCATGAGCGTGAAACCGTGTATTACCCTGTTTGCCAGTTCCCTGTAGTTCAGTCCCAGTAACTACGTTGTATCGAAACTGCATAACACATATCACAGGGTTCACTTATCTGTTTAACCCCTTCATCATTTATATCTTATCACAAACAGACGTAATTTCACTGTTTTACGCCCATTCAATTAGCCCTGACTGGTGCTGTTTTGCCACATCTCGTATCCAAGTCCTCACTCACTCCCAGGCTGTGGTATTTTCATGCAGAGGCAACTGTACATTATGACCCATAGTAACCCAACAATACAAATATACAAATTAAAAACTTTTACAATTCAAATTACATACAATAAATATACAGTAATACATGGCATTTTTTTTAGTACAGTATACAGTACTGTAACATATATATATATATATATACAGTATATATATATATATATATATATATATATATATATATATATATATATATCATGTAAATCCACAATGAAAACGTGGATAAGATAAATCTTGATAAAATCACACGGGAAAATGGGAACAACGGAGCACCTTAGCTTTCGTCTTTATTCAAGACAGAGGAGGGTGAGACCAGGTCCACAATGTGGACCTGGTCTCACCCTCCTCTGTATATACACACCTTGGTTTGTATTTCTCTTTAGTCTGTACTCACCCCTGAAGATGTGAATTACACGAAAGCGCTTGGGAACTTCGTTTTTTCTTCTTTCCTTGTGGTTATCAGCATATACCTAGATCACGCGCACCTACAGTGATTTACTTGCATATATATATATATATATATATATATATATATATATATATATATATATATATATATATATATATATATATATATACAGTATTACCCCGCTTAACGCGCTTTCACTTAACGCGTTTTCGCATATACGCGGTGCCTTGCCAAAGCTGAACTTTCACTTAACGCGGATTTTTCCACAGCAACGCGGTGAGTGTCCGGCTCGAGAGCTATTTTTAGATTCGCACCACCCCCCACCCGCCACCCTGCCTGACTGCCTGTTTTAGCTCATAAAATTCATACAAATTACCCAGCCAGAATATAGTTTACATTGCTGGAATTCTTATAATTTGGTGATCATTTTGAATATAAACAACATATTTTTTGCATTAAACATACAATTTTTAGATAAAATGTTTAATCTGAGTAAGTATGTTATCTTTTGTCCAAAATATATGACATTTATATTCAAAATATTCCTGGTCTTACAAGGAATCCAGCAATGTCAATTATATTATCCTAACTTTAGTTTGAGGTATTATTTATTAAAATTTAGTGGTTATCCCACACATCTCCTTGGGACGGTTGGTGGGGGGTGGGGGGGAGGGAGGGACCAACCGACCGACCATCTGTTACCCGGTGAAGAATTATTTTTTTTTAACTGAAGATATTTGTTTTAGCTCATAAAATTCATACAAATTACCCGGTCAGAATATAATTTACATTGCTGGAATTCTTATAATTTGGTGATCATTTTGAATATAAACAACATATTTTTTGCATTAAACATACAATTTTTAGATAAAATGTTTAATCTGAGTAAGTATGTTATCTTTTGTCCAAAATATATGACATTTATATTCAAAATATTCCTGGTCTTACAAGGAATCCAGCAATGTCAATTATATTATCCTAACTTTAATCTGAGGTATTATTTATTACTAAATGTTAAAAACTCTTGAATGGAGGATTGGTGGGGGGTGGGGGGAGGGTTGGGACTGACCGCGCGGTTGGAAGAGGGGGGAGGCAAGGTGGGGTACTTTGATTGACAGATAGTGTTGAAGAATATATTTTTTTTTTATTAACTGTAGATATTTGTTTTAGCTCATAAAATTCATACAAATTATCCGGCCAGAATATAATTTACATTGCTGGAATTCTTATAATTTGGTGATCATTTTGAATATAAACAACATATTTTTTGCATTAAACATACAATTTTTAGATAAAATGTTTAATCTGAGTAAGTATGTTATCTTTTGTGAAAAATATATGACATTTATATTCAAAATATTCCTGGTCTTACAAGGAATCCAGCAATGTCAATTATATTTTCCTAACTTTAGTTTGAGGTTATCCCACACATCTCCTTGGGACGGTTGGTGGGGGGTGGGGGGGGGGAGGGAGGGACCGACCGACCATCTGTTAGCTGGCTGTGTACTGTAGTGTGAGAGGGGGAGGGAGTTGAGTCCATTATTTGAATGGACATTAACTTGGCGACTGTATTTCTCTTAAGTATTAATTGTGTGCATGTACCATCATAAAATTAAGATGTTATTTTTACTACAACATAGTTATTTGTCGTCAAAAAGTGGAGTTTGGGGGTCGGGCTGGGTTCTATTGGAATTAATCCCATATGTTCTGTTATTCACTTAACGCGGTTTTCACTTAACGCGGGACCCTCTGGGTTCAATTGACCGCGTTAAGTGGGGTACAACTGTGTATATATATATATATATATATATATATATATATATATATATATATATATATATATATATATATATATATATATATATATATATATATATATATATATATATATATATATATATATAAATTATTCTAAAAAGATTTGTCACAGTAAGATTATGTCCAAACATCTTGCAAATATCTTTTTTCTATTTGCATCTGAGCTATATATTTTCTAGCATCAACTTCAGTTTGGTTGTTAGTAACTTGAAGCACAGTTACAAAGGCCTCAAAAACATCCTTTGCCATGTTTTTTGCATCCCCACAAACATATATGATGGCTCCCATATTTACTAACAGAGGTGTCAGCACAGCACCATGCTTGAGGATATTGTCTTGAACATATTTTGGACTGTCACAGTTAGTATCATCTCTTGAAAAACTAACAATGAGATGATTCAAAATACCCTGCTCATGAAAACTTTCTAATTCCTCTTGATATAGAAAGTCTTGTTCTTTATGACGGCATCCAAAAAATAACCACGATTCCCCAAAGGCATTATCGGGGTTAACAGTCATAATTTTTTGTCGATGGTGAAGAAAACCCACAAATGGCGCAACACCGGTCCCTGGACCAACCATAACAATAGGAATTTTAGTATTCTTTGAAAGATGAAAAGTTTGGTTAGCACGTAAATATATATTGGCATAAATGTCAGCTTTAGCTTTAATAGTCAAATTATCAAAGGCATTGTTCAATTCCTTGGGGCTGTTTTCAAGTTCACTGTTGAGAGATGCCAACCAGCCAGTGCATATACCTTTCCTCGCAAAAGTGACTGTGTTTTTCTTTGGGATTTCAACTACATTAAAAACAAATGAGATATTCTCGGAGTCCACAAGAGGTGATGATATGATGGAGTAAGCCCTGGGTTGAAGCTGAGGTAGATGTTCCAGGAGGGTTGTGACAGGTGGTTTGCAGGACTGAAAAGTTATTAGCAGATCTAATGTTGTCAGGTTCATTTCACGAACATGTTTGGTGTATTCTGCTGCACCTTCTTTGCTTACAAGTTCCTGCAGTCGTCTTTTTTCTAAGGAATTTGAAGTGTATTCAACTAAAGATCTCATTAGAGGTTTCTTTGGGACAGCTCTAATGTCCAAACAATGTTCCAGTATGTATCTAAGAGAACTTTTCACTGGAATAAAACTGGGCACTTTGGCTACTTTCTTTTTGGTGTTTGGAACAACAGAAATTTCATAAATCTTATCTGCTATATCTGTTATTTCTAGCAAATTCAATACAATTTCTACTTCATATTTTGGGTTTTCCACAATAATCCCAATTGAATCCCCAGGTTCATATACAAATTCATTTACATCACTGGGCAGTTTTAAGGTAACTTCCAAAGCAGTTTTTATAGCATCCTGTCGGGTTAGTTTTCTTACTGATGCTATATGTGCTTGGAAAATCTTTGAGGCTGCACTAGGCAGAGGGGCACCACTCTCAATGGTGCTGGCCTCAAAATTATTAAGGTATTTTAATGTCAAATAAGGAGGGGGTTGAACTGGTAATGTCAACTTTGTACTTAAAGGAAAGGCACAAGCTTTCAAAGGAAGGCACTGGATTTCTCCTCGCGATAAAACATCAATATTGTATTTAAGAATGGTTACAAATGTTTCATTTACCCTTTTCTCCTCTCCTTGATTATCAATATTTTTTAAAGCTATACTAGTTTGATCTATTGTACTTTCACCATTTAAAATGAGCTGACTGTCACTTCCATTAATGCTACTTTTACTGACAATATTGTGTGTATTAGAACATTCATTGTTACTATCCTGTGTACTAGTAGTTCTAGTTATATCATCTACAATATCTTTACCACAAATTTTACTATCACCTTCATCCATAGTTGTATTCTGACCTTGACAGCAGCTTGTTTTACGACCAGTAATATTAATATTCCTTTTCTTGACAAGGTGATTTTTGAGAGCAGGAAAAAGTCCTTCGATCCATGGTTCTATAACTATCTCCAGTCCAGTTCCATCATCAGCCCAGCCACAAGGAAAAAACCTGCCAATAAACATACAATCAGACGTACTGTACAATACAGTATATGATTGATATTAAGTACTGTATTGTAGAACCTCGATAAATCGGACTAATTGGAGCAGACCCCAGTCCAAAAATGGGAATATATATATATATATATATATATATATATATATATATATATATATATATATATATATATATATATATATATATATATATATATATATATATATACAGTGACCCCTCGTTTAACGAACACCTCGGTTAACGTAAGATTAACGAACTGCCTTCCATAAGGATCTTCAATTCGTTAACGAACAAAAATTCGATTAACGAATTCTTACGAACCGACCTCAACATGTTTTCGCTTGCACTGACCGGTCAACCAGCTTTAGTATCAGTCCGCCAATACATTAATCGGTTCTAGGGCTTAAATTCCTTACTATTTTAGTAAATATCAAGAAGTTTATACTATTCAATAATTTTAAAAGTTTAATATTCAATTTTTTAGTCATTTTAACAATTATTGAACATAATTGAAGGTAAAGTGACTAGTTTAATGCGCGGCATCCAGCCTCTTAACACAGCAAACAGGCATTAGTCTCTCTCTGTTTTCACTGGAGGTAACATCTTGCTTGAGACTCTCTTCAACTAAACGCTTTTTTTCTGTGTTTCCAAGCAAATTATTGGTCATTTTGAAATATATTTTATATATTGACAATATATAATGCAGTGCAGTGTTGATTTAAAGAAAATAATCTTGAATTACACCAGAGAGCTAAAATTTTATGGGTGAAATGGCACCATGGGGTGACTTCTCTTCCACCCCAATGCCTTCTCTTCTTCCTTCTCCTCCACCCCCATTCTAAATCCCATCATCATCATCATCCAGGAGCCTTCTACATACACACCTCAAAGTAAGTGAACTTTTCTACCATTTTTGTTGAATTTAGGAAATTTTCGGTGAGCTGGAACCAATTACCCAAAAACCCATTGAAACAATGGTTTCGGTTAACGAACTTTTCGCTTAACGAACGACCTTCTGGAATGGATTGAGTTCGTTAACCGAGGGGTCACTGTAGGTGCGCGTGATCCAGGTATATGCTGATAACCACAAGGAAAAAGAAAACACGAAGTTCCCAAGCGCTTTCATGTAATTCACATCTTCAGGGGTGAGTACAGACTAAGGTGTATATATATACAGAGGAGGGTGAGATCAAGTCCACAATGGTCAGGTATTAGGTAATGACCCTACTAATCTTCAAAAGCACCGCAGCAGTCGGTAGTCAGGTCAGAGGGTAAGATGACACAACCTTCTCACCTGGTTACAAATCTTCTTAATAACAAAATTATCCAGTTTGTACATACCATTACTCAATTTCATGTTGACGGATTCGGTATGTTTAATAAGACTGGATTCTATAATGTTCCTAATGTCAATTGAATTACAAGGTAATATTGAGGAGTCATTATCCCAATCAATGCACTGCTTATTATCCCTCAAATGAACAAACAGAGCATTGGATTCCTGGCCTGTCCTAACACTATATTTATGTTGTTTAAGTCTAGTTACAAGATCTTTACCTGTCTGGCCTAAGTAAACCATATTACATTCCTTGCAAGGAACCTTATAAATGCAGCCACCTGTATTGTTGGGGGAGTTCTTGATTAACATTTGTTTAACAGTACATGAGTTTTTAAATGCCACATTGACGTTCCAGGTTTTTAGTTGTAAAGGAATTTGAGAGAAATTTTTGTGAAATGGTAATACTAAGAGATTCTTATGGTCATGGGTGGACTTGGGATCGGTTCTATAAAAAGATTTCTTAGTAATGTTAAGGCATTTGTCTACGAAAGATCTAGGGTACTTAAGGTTTGAGCCAATATTATAGATATATTTATATTCCTCATCAATGAATTCCGGGCTGCAAATTCTCAAAGCACGTAAAAGCATTGATGAAAATACTGACTGTTTGACTCTATTACGGTGGACAGAATAATAATGAATGTATGAACACACATTAGTAGGTTTTCTATAAATACTGAACTTAAAGGTGTTACCTATTCTGTGGATCAGACAGTCTAGGAAAGGCAATTTACAGTCTTGCTCCAATTCCACAGTGAATTTGATCGAGGGGGCTAAGTTATTAAGTTGTGGCAGGAAAGCTTTTAGGTCCTCATTACTTGGCCAGAGACATAATACATCATCTACATATCTAAACCAGACTGCTGAAGGTGGTAAAATATTACTTAATAGTTTCTTTTCAAAGAATTCCATATATAGGTTGCTTAATACAGGTGAGAGTAGATTAACCATTGCCATACCAAATTTTTTAGCATAATATTCTCCATTGAATTCAAATTTACAATCCTCAATACATAGTTTGATGAGTTCGATGAAGTCATCTTTCGAGACGGGCAATGAAATATTATCCAGGGAATCTATGAGGAACGCCAGTAAATCATCAACTGGGACCTTTGTAAAGAGTGATGTTACATCAAAACTGACCAGTTTAAAATGTGTGGTTATCAGCATATATATATATATATATATATATATATATATATATATATATATATATATATATATATATATATATATATATATATATATATATATATATATATATATATATATATATATACAGTCAACCCTCACTTTACGCGGTTAATGTAACCCACAGGGTACCGCGGAAAGTGAGAAACGCGTAAAGTGAATAACATAACATATGGGATTAAATGAAATAGAGACCAGCTGACCCCCAAACTCCACTTTTTCCAACACAATACCTATGTTCTAGTAAAAATAACATCTTAATTTTATGATGGTACATGCACACAATTAATACTTACGAGAAATAGAGTCGCCAAGTTAATGTCCATTCAAATAATGGACTCAACTCCCTCCCCCTCTCACACTACACTGCCGGCTCTTCCCTCTCAGAGAAATTTTTGGGGGAAAACCACTAAATTTTAATAAATAATACCTCAAACTAAAGTTAGGATAATACAATTGACATTGCTGGATTCCTTGTAAGACCAGGAATATTTTGAATATAAATGTCATATATTTTGCACAAAAGATAACATAGTTACCTAGAGAAAATTTTTTTATCTAAAATTTGTATGTTTAATGCAAAATATATGATGTTTATATTCAAAATGATCACCAAATTATAAGAATTCCAGCAATGTAAATTATATTCTGGCCGGGTAATTTGTATGAATTTTATGAGCTAAAACAGGCAGTCAGGCAGGGTGGAGGTGGGGCAAATCTAAAAATAAGCGTCTCGAGCCGGACACTCACAGCGTATATGTGGAAAAAATCCGTGTTAAGTGAAAGTTCAGCTCTGGCGAGGCACGTATATGATAAAACGCGTTAAGTGAAACGCGTTAAGTAATACTGTATGTATATATATATATATATATATATATATATATATATATATATATATATATATATATATATATATATATATATATATATATATATATATATATATATAGTGGTCCCTCGGTTAACGAACACAATCCGTTCCAGCAGGTTGTTCGTTAACCGAAACCATTGTTTCAATGAGTTTTTGGGTAAATGGTTCCAGCTCACCGAAAATTGCCTAAAATCAACAAAAAAGGTAGAAAAGTACACTTACTTTGAGGTGAGTATGTAGAAGGCTCCTGGATGATGATGATGATGATGATGGGAATTAGAATGGGGGTGGAGGAGAAGGAAGAAGAGAAGGCATTGGGGTGGAAGAGAAGTCACCCAATGGCACCATTTCACCCTTAAAATTTTAGTCCTCTTGGTGTATTTCAAGATTATTTTCTTTAAATCAACACTGCACTGCATTATATATTGTCAATATGTAAAATATATTTCAAAATGACCAATTATTTCCTTGGAAACACAGAAAAAAAGCGTTTAGTTGAAGAGTGTCTCAAGCAAGATGTAACCTCCACTGAAAACAGAGAGAGACTAACGCCTGTCTGGTGTGTTAACAGGCTGGATGGCATGCCAGGAACTAGTTTCTTTACCTTCAATTATGTTCAATAATTGTTAAAATGACTAAAAAATTGAATATTAAACTTTTAAAATTATTGAATAGTATAAACTTCTTGATATTTACTAAACTATTAAGGAATTTAAGCCCTAGAACCGATTAATGTATTGGCGGACTAATACTAAAGTTGGTTGACCGGCCAGTGGAAGCGAAAACATGTTGAGGTCGGTTCGTAAAAAATTCGTTAACCGAATTTTTGTTCGTTAACCGAATTTTTGTTCGTTAACCGAATTTAAGAATCTTATGGGAGGCAGTTCGTTAACCGAGGGACCACTGTACACACACACAGTGATCCCTCGGTTAACGAAATACCTTCCATAAGAATATTCAATTCGGTTAACGAATTCCTTACGAATTTTTCCCAACATGTTTTCGCCTGCCCACCAGCTGTAGTATTAGTCCGCCAATACAGTAATCGGTTTTAGGGCTTAAATTCGTTACCATTTGAGTAAATATCAAGAAGGTTGTACTATTCAATAATTTTCCAAGTCTTATATTAAAGTTTTTAGTCATTTTAACAATTATTTAACATAATTGAAGTACAGGGAACTAGTTTTTAGCACGCCAAACAGCCACTTGACTCACCCTGAATGGCGTCAGTTTGTGTCTCTGCTCAGTAGAGGTAGCATCTTGCCTGAGACTTTCTTGAACATAAACTATTTTTACATTTTTACAGTACAATTACTGGTAATTCTGAAATTTATTTTACATATTGACAATATACTGTATAGTGCAGTGCACTGCTGATTTAAAGAAAATAATCTTGAATTACACCTAGTGAACTTAAAATTTTATGGGTGAAATGGCGGCATGAAGCATGGGGTGATTTCTGTTCCACCACCACTTCCTTCTCTTCTCCCTTCTCCTCCACCCCCACTTCTAATTCCCATCATCATCATCATCAACCAGGAGCCTTCACATGCACACCCCAAAGTAAGTGTACTTTACTGCATTTATTTT